ATGCTATAGTTTCTGGTTTGCCTGTGCCAACTCAAGCTACAAGCTTTAGTCCCCAACCGACTGAAAAGTTTGCGTCAAGTTCCAAGCAGACTGAAGTAAAAGATTCCAGCACAAGTGACTCTAGTCCAAGACCTAATGCTAATGTATCTGCACCAGTTGGTTCCATGGCCAGGATCCAGATTGATGAAGACGAAGAAGAGGAAGATGAATTTGCACAGCTAGCTCGAAGGTTTGTGCATGACTGGACATCTTTCTCTGTTTTCAATTTCTTTTTATGGTTCATAGAAATGCTTTTTTCTTATGCCAATGGTTTCCACCATTGCTGGGTTTAGTTTTGCCGTTTTGTGATTTAATGATAACTTGCATAAAGTACTTTTGGTGTACCTCGTATCTCTCTTAATCTCATAGTTTGGTGAAAGTTAACTCACAACTGTTGCACTTATTTTATGGATGCAGGCATTTTAAACCACGGTCGGTGCCTCCTCAAAACACATCTAGTGGAAGTAATGATAATTTGGCGTTGGTGAGCACCAGCAGCACAATAGATCCATCAGCCACAACATCCGCTCCAAGCAATGCATTAGTTCTGGCTGATCCACCAGCACCGGTTAAGACAACAAAAGAGCAGGACATGATCGACCTTCTGAGTATCACTTTATCAACAACAGCTGCCTCCCCAGACAACACCCCTCATGCTCTAGCATCCAACCCTCACACCACACCAGACCCGCACACGGTTCCAGCATCTAATGGTAACACACATCAGGAGCCTGTTGCCCCCACCATACAAGGAAATCCCAATCCTTCCCAGCCTTATCCTGGAAATCCGGGGACGGTATCCTATAACAGCTATGTTGTTCCATGGGCGCAAGCACAACCTCAATCCCACCTCCAACAGCCACAGTTCCAACCGCAATCACAATTTCAGCCTCAGCCCCAATTCCAGTCACAATTTCAACCTCAATATCCTCAATACCCGTCTGCCTACCCTCCTCCACCGTGGGCAGCTTCACCGGGATATTCTAGCCAAAACCATTTTTCCGCCAATAATACATTTTCAACTCCTCGTGCCAACACAACCACATCTTATAGTCCAGCACAATCAGCTAGACCTTTGCACCACTTCAATTCGTTCCCTGCAAGGGGAATGAATGGGATAGATAGCAACGGAGGTTCAACGAGCCCCGGTCCTAGGAGCCCTGCCCCTTCAGCAGGACAAAAGCCCTACATTCCCACGTACCGATTATTTGAAGATCTGAATGTGTTTGGCAATGCAGATGGAAAGTTTAAGATGACAAGCAGCAATACATCATCTAGCTTGTCTGGAGCTGCCGGCCAAGGTATGGTAGGTGGGAGGAAGTGAGATAATGTCGTACAGATTATGAACCGGGACGCAGCTTTGTGAATATATCCTGTATATCAGTATCTGCGTCGTCTCCCGGTTTGTGATGCTTTATAGATTTGCGGTTGTCATTGGTCACCATTTGTGTGTAGCTTTTCAGCAGAATCATTTGACCCTAAAGACTAGCATTTTTCTTCATAAACTAAGGCTTTTAATTATATTGAAATGAAGCCAATAAGCCCTTAATCCTCAGAATGTTTATAGCTGTATATATTTTTGAGCATTCAGAATTTCGGATTCTCTGCTTCAAATTTTACTTTCGTTGCTTTTGAGCGAAGGCGTAGTCGCGTTTTAGATGACTTGGCTGCGTTCGTGATCCAAATGAGAGAAGAACCCATGGCAAGTGTTGTGAGAAGTGAGAGAAAGCAGAGAAGAAGCCTTGAGACTGGTTTCTTGGTTTAAGGCAGCATTTAGAGGCTTATAGCCCGTGCCCGTGGCATAGTTGTATTTTTGCGCTTTGATAATATTGAGTCAGGCGTGCATGGCCCGTGCTAGGCTGGCTCGTGCCATCAAGAATTATGTAATGTCGTGCTTGGCCCGAGGAGCCAAAAGAGGCTAGACGGTACAAGAATAAGATTCTTCCTCTACAATAAGGTCACTAATAATAGAGGGAGGATCATCAATCCAGGTACAGTCACCACCGGAGTGGAGAGCTAATCGAGCCAGACGATGAGCTACGGAATTGGCTTGGCGGCGAATATGGGAAGCAGTTATAAGGATCCAAGTAGAAAACAGTTATCCAAGTGAAGAGAAGATCAAGGGTCAAACTAAGTGACACTTGTCAATAGATAAACAGACGAGCTATTATACGTTGTTACAAGTTGTTAGAATTACAGTTGAGATAAGGAGGAAGATTAGTTGCCAATATTAGCTAAGTAAGAAAGAATATATAACAGCTCATCTATTTATCTATTGACAAGTGTCACTTAGGTATTATGTAACATTCGTAAATGAATGTACTCAGATACACATGGGTTTTCCCCTTAAATAATAAATCAAAAGTTTTTACAACATTTGTGCATTTTTATGCTTATTTGTGTACTCAATTTTCTGCATAACCAAAAATCTTACAAAGTGATGGTGGGGGTGAAGATGTAAGCACAAAGTTTCAACATTTTCTATCACAAAAAGGCATGTTACATCAAAGGTTTTGTCCCCACACCCTAGAACAAAACAGGTTGGCAAAAAGGAAATATAGACATGTTGTAGAAATTGAAATTACATTACTTCTAACAGCACATTTACCTACTAAATCCTAGTTTCATGCTGCAGCAATATATTTGATCAACAGAATGCCATGTGCTGTTTTAAAAATGAAATCCCCTTATCAATTATTATTTCACAAGATTTCAAATATTAGTCATTTGAAAATCTTTGGTTGTGTATGTTTTCCACTGATTACACCATACAATAGCTCCAAACTGCAACCAAAAACAAAAACTCGTGTCTTTTTGAGATATGCAGATCACTATAAAGGGTTCATTTATCTAGACATTATCACTCAAAGAATTTATATATTCAGGCACGTCTTGTTTGATGAAACAACTTTCCATATTTTAATCCAGAACCATTACTCAATTTACCAGTGTCATCACCTACAATTTCACATAAGCATTCTCCAAATCCTACAATAGCATCCATTTCATTACAAAATCAAGTAGTGTCACCTGCATCTCATACTCATTCATCAACATCTATAGCCACAAATCCATTGAACTTGCATTCATCTAGTGCCTCATATTCTTTGACTGCATCCAGAGCCTCAGATTCCTTAGATACACTTGCATCTAGTGGCTCAGAGTTTATTCATTCCCCTTCACAAAGCTTAAATGTAAACCCTGGTTCTCATTCTCCTATATAGTATCCCGATCCTGTGGATCCTGATTTTCAACATGAGCAACTGCAAGTTATGTTACCCATATCTATGAATATTCACCATATGCAAACAAGGTCCAAAAATGGAATATTCAGAAGAAAGGCTCTCTCTACAATCATAAGCTATTCTTAAGCATCCATCACATAACCAAAATCATTCAAAGCAGCTTCAAAAGTATCAGAATGGCAAGATGCCATGAAAGAAGAAATTAGTGCTCTACATACATAGAAGACTTGGTCTCTAGTTCCATTGTCACCTAACAAGAACTTAGTTAGATGTAAATGGGTATACATAATTAAGAGAGATGCAAATAGATCTATTGCAAGGTTTAAGACAAGGCTTGTGGCAAAATGGTATAGCCAGGAAGAAGGAATTGACTATGGAGAGACTTTTAGTCATGTGGTGAACCCTACAACTATAAGGTTGATCCTTGCATTAGTTGCACAATTCAATTGGCCCCTCAAACAAATGAATGTAAAAAATGCCTTTTTGCTTGGAGTTCTTCAAGAGGAGGTGTATATGGAACAACCTCTGGGATTTCAAAGTTCAGCACATCCACCAAGTTATGTTTGTAAATTACCAAAGTCTCTATATGGACTTAAACAGGCCCCCAGAGCCTGGAATGACAGGTTCACAAGTTTTTTATCAGGCTTAGGATTCAAAGCTTCATAAGCGGATCCTTCTTTGTTTGTTCAGCATTCATCCAAAGGCACTGTGGTCATATTATTATATGTTGATGATGTGATACTTACAAGTAGTAGCTCTGAGCTAATTTCAAATGTGATTACAGGCTTCACATAAGAGTTTGATATGAAAGACTTGGGACAACTGAACTATTTCTTGGGGTTACAAATCAATTATACACCATAAATAGCTATTTTTATCACATACAAAGTATATCAATGAATTGGTTAAAAAAGTTGATTTGCAGGATAGGTCCCTTTTCTATTACCAACTCAAGCCCTTCTCGGACAGCCAACACCTCAATTTGGAGCGGAGAGAACATTTTTAATGATGCGAGTGGCAGCAATCTACATTTGCCTTGAGAATCCCTGATGGCGATGCCAATTCCATCGAGGCTGAGATCTTTGAGCCAAGCACCGTCAACATAACTTTCAGCAATCATAATGTCTGAATGCTTTAAAATGTCGTGATCATGCTATATTTAAGCAGTCAAGCCTGTTGTACACCAGGTAAATTAGTGCTCCTACTAGATTTGCGCAATATAATTCAATAAATTGAACCAGAGCAAGTTGCTCAATGGTAAAGGTAAAGACTGCAGCTCCTCAATTAACAAAAAAATGTGAAAGATCCCGGATTCGATGATCCAAGCTGATGAATCTGCTTGATCGTGGCCACGGGCATGATGAAATTCCCCATAGACTCACTGAGCCTGAAAATGGTAGATAACCGTAACTTGCCATTGTCCCCCTTTTAAAAAAAAAAATCATTAAATTAGACGTTTTTAAAACTCCAATGTAATTTACATATGTAATACGCATATGTACTATATATATTTAATGCACGTTATGTTGATATGTCAATCGTTTCAATTTTTTTTTCTTGTTTTTTTTTTTTTTTGCAACAATCAGACTTTGTGAATTCCACACCCCCGCCATTTTCCAAGAAAAAATAAAACTCAGTTTGTTCACCATACAACGCCATAATAATTTTTACCCAGGAACACAATAAGGTACATTTCGTTAGGGCACAAGTATCGGAGGACAAAACATAGAACAAGCACAAGGGAAATGACTCATGAGTTAATTACAAGTTACATGACGATTAATTCCAAGGGCAAAGCGGCTTAAAACCTCAACAGAATACATTACATGATGAGCAAACGCGAGATTATCGAATTCAACACAAACATAATTACCCGCGTCAACATCTACGATTATGATCAATTAATGTGCGCTGTTTTTACAAATCGAACAAAGGGAAAGGGGAAAAAATGAACACACCAAAACGAAAAGGATATTTACATGCATTTACCTGTATAACAGATTATTTTCCAGAGCCTCCAATAAATATGCAGGAATTTATTCCCCACAACTGTGACCCTCTGCCGGAGGCTAACGAATATTATAGCATACACAATCGGTAGAAAGCAACGTACCGATGCTTCAAGATCCACCCATTGACGTTGAAGAAGAATCGGGGCAGTGGAATGTTACATCACACAATGGTCCGAATGCCATCCCCGAGTGATATGCAACGGCAAGATTGGAATTGAAGTCGATCCACTTGCACTGCCTTCATTTTGAAAGAAAGCCTTATCATACCGTGAGGATAGAATTACAATTCTCATCTGGCTTGAGAGTTGTCGTCGGCATAAATGGATGCGCAAGCATCTGCAGCACCAGCTGCAAGCAGCACTTCGTAGGGATGGAAGGCTAGGGAACTAACAGGACCAATCTTTTGGGCCATAAAGGAAGGGTAGTATCTTATTGTGCCTAATTGTTCACCCTCCAAACTGAAGACTTTTATGAGCTGTTTGGCCGAGCCACTGGCAATGATTGGGGCATGCCTATGAACAGCTAAAGCAGTCAGTGAACCCCGGTGAGCTTCAATCGTGAGGTAGGCATCCCTGCCGTTTCTGATATCAAGGAACTGAATGTCACCAGCTTGAGATGCACTTACAATCTGGATGAAGACGAGAATATCATCTAAGTTTCACTTTCTATCGGAATAACTTCAGAAACAATATCAAACAAGGATCTCTCTCACTTACCTTGGAAGGATCAAGCCCGGGTTGAAAGCCGATCCCCACAACTCTTTCCACCTTCTGAGTGTGTGGCTGGGTTGAACAGATAAGCCTAAGATTTACAAACACACAAGTAAAACAGCTCAAAACACTAGCTTAGCAAATAATCAGCACCACATTAAGAAATCCAAGTTCAGTGAGGAGCTGAACTCAAACACAGTAGCATAATACATTTATTGTTTATGTACAGTGACAGAACCAGACATGAAGAGTGTATCCTTTGCCACACATATAATAGGCCTCTTTTGGCCGCTAGGATTGGATACCCCCACTATATCCAAGACATGTTGGAGGAAGAGACGAAAAAAATTGAGTCCAACTTGAAGGCCTAAGATGGATTACTCATCCATTCCAACACCTCCCAACCCCACCCAAAAAAAAAAGAAAGGGATTAGAAGGAATAAGTTTACTTCAACTTCATGTCTGATCCCCAACATAAAAAATTATCTGCCTCTAATACAGTGGGTCATCCAATCCTAAGGACCCAACAAGCCCCCCCTCCCAACCCCACCCAAAAAAAAGAAAGGGATCAGAAGGAATAAGTTTACTTCATCTTCATGTATGATCCCCAACATAAAAAATTATCTGCCTCTACCTTTAAATACCTCGAATACAGTGGGTGATCCAATCCTAAGGACCCAACAAGGCCTTAAAGAAATTGTACATCTAGGTCTGCAAATCTAACTATTTGTCACTTATCATTTGCAGTTAGTTGCAACACTTTCACAAGGAACACAAGTCATATATTTGCCACAGGAGACATGAAGAGCTTACATTTCAGGAGTTCGCACATCATAAAGTCTGACAGAACCATCTACAAAGCCAGCTGCAAAGTGACCCCCGTGAACTTGAGAAGCAGACTAACAGACAATGCAGGAATCAGTCATTATTACACCATTCATTTTCTAGATTGCAAAATCAATAGTCAAATCCATACGTCTGTAAATTGATAAACTACAGCTGTAAATTCAGATGTCGAAAGTAAGTTGAGGTGGTAAAAACTCACCAGGGCTGAGATGCTACAATCTGATGAAGAAGGAATAGAATTAATAAGCTGCTCTTTATCCAGATCCCAAAGCATAATGGATGATAGTTCGCCAGAAGCATACTAGCAAATGAAGCAATGCAGAAGTAATCAAAATATTATTCACAACAAAGACCAAGAATCACAAAATTTGAAACAGAACTTATCCTGTAGCCCTAACGTATTACATCTTACAGAGAGGAAGTACCAGATATCCAGATTGTTGTTGCCAATCCACAACAGCATTCAAACTTCGCACCCCAGGTTTATGACCTTGAATTGAAGAAAATGCAGTGACAAGCTTCTGTTGACCCTTCAAAGTGTAATCTTTCCAAATTCGAATGTTTCCATCACCTAATTATATGACCGCAAAAAGGTGCAACTTATTTAGAAAGGTTCAACAATAGCACCCTTCCTGACGAAGAAGCTAATTTTTCAGTAGTATAGAATATTACTTGAAGCAGCAAGAAGCAAGCTGTCATCAAGCTCATTGACAAGGCAGAGCTTGGAGATTCCTTTGTCAGGAAAATCATGATTATTGAAGCTGTTGAGAAGGGTAGCCTCCTTTTGCTCTTGGTAATTCCACACCCTATGAAGAAATAACCACCAAAACATAAACATACCATCATATTTTTACTAGACTACATAGTAAAACACTTAGGGTAATCAATAAATATTAGCAACATGAACCAAATTCACTCATACAAGAATGCATATGCACCCAATGGTTACCCAAAACCCAAACAAAACCTCATAGTTTGACAAAGAGAGGCCATTTCATTTTTCAAAGGAAGCAACCCTCCATCATTCATCAAATATTGATGCATATATTAAAAGGATACCTATTAATAATCATACAAAACCAAACTAAACAACCGAAGAAAAAGACAATTTCATATGACTTAATGACTATTTCAATCACAGCTGTTCCTGTCTGAAAGTTTATCGTGACGAATAAAGAAAACATAGAATGAATATTACCCACATTACATAAATATTAAAAGGTGAAATTTTAAAAAAGTGATGACCTACGCACCTGATTTGCTCATTCTCGTCTGCACCGACCACAATAGGAGAAAATGGTTTCAGCAAGATTGTTTTTGTACCCGTCTCAAACTTGGTGTCCCAGCTAGCAATTTGATTATTAAGCTTGCTCACAGCTGACCACGAACATGGAAGATACATTAATTCCACAAAAGAGCCTAAATAATGATAAACAAAAATAAAAGATAAAAGAGCAAAAGGAGGAATTAGAGAAGAAAACCAACAAGAGTGCTGGCATTTAGCAATGTGCTCCAAGGCAAATTTTTCTCTCTCCTCTCTTCTACTTAGTACTTCTTTACTGTCATCCGCGACAATGAGAAGTGGCTTGGAAAAGTGCCCACAACCCCAATTGTAGATGGCTGATTGAGGAAGAAAACTGCGTTCCGAGGCTCCAGAAGTTCCCCCAGAACCTAAAAGTGGATCCGCTAATCCAGAATCTGGACTCATTAGATGAGGCCTGAAGTCTAAAGAGCATACTCTCCGTATTCCAGTTAAGTGATTTGGCTGAGGAGGGCTGACAGGAGGAGTTCGGAATGGCATGTGACCTGTCAAAAATCGGTTACTAAACAAAAAGACTGGAAGTGCATAGATAGATTAAACTAACCAGCGATACCATACATCACCAACATCAAATGGAGCTCAATGTCAGGTTAAAGAATAACTTCCAAGATATTTTTTACCCCCCAGCTCCATTTGATGTTTTAATATACTAATGTTAGAACCTGCAATTAATTAAAAGGAGAATGTCTGGAAGAAAAAGTAAGTAATTCTCATATCGTTACCTCCATTCATATCTAACCATGAAGAAGACCGAGCTAATCCACCAAAACTGGGAGTCGGAGTTGCTGTAATGGATTCACCAGGTCGAACACTGTTACCAGTGGACTTTACGGGTTTGGCCACCACTTGTTCAATCCCTATAATGGCCAAAACCCGCCTACCAAGGCTTGCAATGCGTGGAGATGGATCCTTGGCTAAGGTACACATAGCCAATACACACTGCGAATACATTGCATTGTCCAGGGGTTTAGGTGTTGAGTGGTTGACAACACCATTGCTCACACCATCATTTAATATTCCAGAATCAGAATGATGAGATGAATCGTCAGACAATGGTGATCCATGCATAATTCCAGAACTAGCTAGAGGGCTGCTGGTGGAGACTCTCCCATCTCGACCCAATGAGTTATCATTGGTTCCTCTCAACAGTGGACCAATTTGAGATGAAACAACACAACCTTTAATATGAGCCAAAGAGGGGAAGGAATTCAAAAGAGAATTAGATTGTGGTTTCCAATATGCAGCAGCTATTGACTTGAGGTGCTTGTTGTGGCCAAAGGCAAAGCGTCCCAGTGCTGCAAAGAAGATACAAGTTTACTCAAATCAAATTCCTACAAGAAATCTCTTGATGATTAATTAAATCTCAGGGCCCCGTAAAACAATCCCGCTGTTGTTTTGAATGAGGGGAAAGAAGGAAAGGAAAGAACACTACGGTATGTACTGGTGACAGAAAATCTAGTGCATATTTATTACCCAAAAGCAATAAAATTCCAAACAAACGAGTATGATTAACTGATTATCAGATCGCTAATCACATACCAACAGCAACTTCGGCCCTGACCAGAGGGCTGCCATCCGAAGCAACACTTAATAGACTTCTAATAATACTAATTTCAGCTCTAATCTTTTCATCATCATCGTTTTCTTCTTCTCCACCAACGCCATCTCTACATGAGCCTGAACCCACATCAAGAAGGGTACCCAGTGCGAAAACAGCAGAAGCTCTAACCTGAAATAGAACAATCTCAGTGACTAAGTTACAGAACCCAAAAATGTCATTGGTTAATAATAGAGTCTATATAGTCAAAGTTTACCTCTGGTTGGGGCTCAGAAAGTAGAGGAGCACATATTGAATAGGCATCTGCCTGCAAACCAAATATTTGGGCCTCTGTAAAATCCTCCCACAGCTTTCCCAGACAGAGGCAAAGCCACTGAAGAAATAGTGGTTCTGTCTGTGTATCATTTAGAGTTGGACCCTGAAGGTGCTTCAAGCAAACATGTATCAAATCTGCTTCAAGACAAGCCTCCTGCCCACGTCTATGCCCATCGACAATTACAGCTAAAACAAAAGCAGCCATTGCACGTTGTTCTGGATATGCTTCCATACTATCAAGAAACCTAATGAAATATGTATGACCCCCATCCTTCACTAGATCAACCTGACATGACTGATTCCACACAAAAAAAAGGGTGATTACTACTGTGGTACTAACTGAGAAACTGAAGGGGGGCAGGCATATGGCACCAGAAAGGAACTTATAAGCAAAAATGGATCAAAAATAAATCTTCAGTTCACAACCCATCAGGAAAAAAGCAAAGAAGCACATGCTTCGCAAATTGTTGATGACAGGGAGTTTTGATATGGAGACATCGATGCCTAAGATTAGAAGCAGGTATCAAGATAGTATGTAACAGTAGCAAATTCTAAGATTAGAAGCAGGTATCAAGATAGTATGTGACAGTAGCAAATTCTTATGAAGAGCATGTCACAATTATAGCAATTATAAACATCTGGAGAAAGAATGTGCTGCAGTAATCTAGGCATACCTTATCAAGAGCAAGAATTTTTGTCCATATAAATACAAGAATATGTCGTAGTTCAGGTGTCATTGTTTGTAACAGCTTCAGAACATACGGAAATATCCCAACAGACAAGGCCTAAAAACAGAAATGTGAAATTTTTAAAGAACATCAAAATATTGTTCTCAACCAACATAGAGATAACAAGACAGAACATTTTCAAATGACAACACATACCAGATCTACAGCCCAGGGTCCCATATCAAGGAATCTTCCCAGAAGAACCAGAGCTCGAAATCGGTGGCATTGACTAAGTAACACCTTAAATACAGATGTTATTCAGTCAGGGGTTATTAAGGAAAAAAAAAACAGGCAAAGAATGAACTTAATACAATGATACATGATGAATAACAAACCAGCAAGTTGAATCAACATAACGAAGAAAAGTAGAACTGCTCTACAAGCCAAATTACACCACCACAACTTACAGTCCATGGCACTACTCTGTTATCATCTCAATAGAAATGAACTCAACCAATACTCCCTAGGACTACCATGTAATTTTGCCCAGTTATTTCACAGCTGGGTTTACAAATAAGGTACTGTTACCAAATACACCTAATTAAGGAACTTTATATCAATGCCTCAAAACAGGATACAAACAACCTAAAGATGACTATTTTCAGCCCACTTTAAAAACAAAAGCAATTAGACATGATATAAAGAAAGCGTACATAATACCTATATCCCAGAAAGCTTTAGTAAACCAAACTAAAAAGTGATAAATATAATATCACACCTGAAGAACAATAGGCAATTGCTCTGGTGGTTTCTTGTTTTCAGACCCATGGTCAAGCCATACCTCAAAAGCAGTCAACTGCTCAGTGAAAAATGGGCTTGGCTGGAATAAAGCAAAAATATAACGATCAAAGTCAATGTCAGGCATGTCACAAAAATACCAAACAGGAAAGTTATACAAATATCTAATTCCACATAACACTGTGAGGAACCTAACTGCATAAAATAAAAAAAAGCAACAAACTTGCATAAAAAGAACCCAGAAGCACACCTGGAACTCCGCATTAGGATCCTCAACCAATAGTGGAAGCTGAGAAAGGCATATCTCAGCAGCCATGTCCCATGCATCCCTGCAGTTAGCATAAGCAAAAGAGGTGACAATTGATTTAACTAACATATGAAGCATGACTGAAAATTTTCTCCTTTAGTACCACATATGATGCTGATGGGTTGGAGGCAACTGTGGGTGAGAGATCGGAGAGCAATTTGCGGATCGCATAATTCGCTCAGCAAGTAAAAAATTGCGAAAAAGGCTGGCAACTAGCAGGTCTTGTCTGAACAGTCTCTGGAAAAGATCTGCAACACAGAACTGAGTATTAGATCGATGTACCATCACCAAAACAGACATAAATGAACATCCAGTTCAAAAACATTGGATAATGGTACAGCAGACCACTACATTGGAAAGAAAAAAACCTACCGTGAGGGAGAACATTCCATGCAATCGTATCAGTGACTGCAGTAAAAATCCAATTCAACTCGCCCAAAAGTGTTTTCCGGTCATTTTGGCGGCCAGGGATTTTATCTATTAGCAAATAATCAAGAGATTCATGAAGTAATGATCGTGTGCAGAACCTGAGAGAATACATAACAATCCAATAAGTAGAACCATATAGAATGCTAGAACATAACAAGGAGAGAAACAAAAAGTGAAAGCAGGAGAAATTATAATCAATGACAGTAATTGTACAAACAGCCTAGTGGATGAAGTACAACTCCTAACAGTAGACAAAACTTAAGACCGATAATCACTTCTTGTAACAAAACAAGGAGAACAAGCTTCACCATCTTAATGCCATCTTGATGGGAGTTGTGAGGCAAGAAGTAAACACATCAGCAGGAAATTCAGCACTCTGTGGAAGAGTCTCGTGTGCTTCACAAGCCGCTAGCAGGATACAATCCCTTGCAGATCCAGATGAGCTAGAGCTACCCCAATCATGAAGCTAACCAAAAAAAATCCAACTATTACATTGAAGTCTATACTATCGAATTAATAATACCAGTTCGGACATCTTGGAAACCTCAATATCAAATTTACATAAACATTCATAACTGCACTGTAGGATACCTCAATGAAAGAATTGACTATCATCCCAGCAGCAGAACAATCAAACACATATATTGAAGGTGTCTTCAACCAAGAATCGAGGTCACTAATTGGCAAGGGGATATACTGTGTATAACTCTGCACCCAATAAAAAACTAAATGAGAACTACAAAAGCATTATTTAAAGATAGCAAGGAACAAAACAGCAGGCTTCAAATTGGTAAGAACCTTATTAAAGAGCCAAATTTCACCATTAGCAGTTGGCTTGGGTACACCATGTCCATTATAATGGAAAAGAACTCTCTCGGACTTGGCATATTTGCGGCATGTATTACAAAGTTTCTTCACTTCTTCTACCGTAGGATCAAGCTGAACCTTGTAGCGAGCCTGGTCGCATAATATCAAACAAAATTAAAGTTTAATTTAGACAACAAAATTAACAGCATGCACAAAGAAAACAAAAACCATCTCACCCTTGGTTGCCACCTTTCGTACTGTTGACTCAAGGTTTTACCAATTGTTTCAAGAGCTTTTTGTGGAGCCATTGCAAATGGATCTGAAGACAGAAAAAATGTTAACAGAATGGTAAACTTGACAAACAAAAAAATATAATATCCAAAAACATTCTGTTGCCAAAGGGAAAATAAAAATAAAAGTGTTTGGTTGTGTCTAAGTTATAATGCTTGTAGACCCACAACTGTGTATCATTTCCTCTTGGCAACATGTATTTACTATTATATTTAATAATGGGTACAAGAAGATGTTAACAAAAGATAAATTCAAACTCCACTAAGGAATATGTCATATTTAGTGAAACTTAAATCAATCTTTTACGTCATGCACTGTAGAATTATTAGCCATAGCATGCCAAGGGTGCTTTGGTATTGAAAATGAATAAGAGAACCTAGAACTCACGCACACTATACCAAGTCCAACAAGTAAGAAACTCAATAAGACAACCCAAACGGTTAAAGAACAGAATTAATAACCAATACACTACCAACAAACTAAAGCAAGAGTAAAAATCAGCAGTGTAAAAGCACCTATCCAGCACTCCATTCTGGCACAGGGAGATATCTTAATTACATCGGGCGGATCAACGCTAATGTTTAAACATAATACCAGAGCTACACATCCCGTCTTCATCTGCAAAGAAGTTGAAAGTTAAACTAAAATAAGCACAATTAACCAGTACAATATTGTGAGCGTCTTCGGTCAGAACAAAAATAAGAAACTAAGTTCAACAAATCAAATAGCTCCAAGTAAGAATTACTTTAAGCTTTGGCCATCCCCTGAAAGAATATTGTCACTGTGTTTTTTAAAGGAAACGGTTATATTTAATAATTCCTTCAATGCCGTCGTTGAAGAATAGGGTTGAAAGTTCATAACAAAAAAAACTAAATTAGCAATTCTACAAGAAAAATTAGTGCTATATTCTAAAATCCTAAATAAAGATCAGGTTTTCCTCAGATAATAGTTTAACCATCAATGACAGTGCCACCAAAGTCACCTACAGGCTAGACCGCAAGGGGCACCTAGGCTATCTGTGTGACTTCCATTACTACCCCTAACCCACTTATGATCACTGGTAAAACTGCATAAGAAAAGTGTTCAAGATTTCTAATGGTTCGCGCAATGAAAATTTGAAAACAAAGATAAAAGCAGAAGTTGTGTCCTTTATTGGTCTCCATAATTGAGTAAAGAACATGGGATTAATCATAGACATTTCAAAACCATACAAAATCATTTTTCTCGAATCAAAGTTCACCAACCATTGTACTAATTCTTCTTGTCATGTGATACATCATACAAGTAATGGTGGTTTAAATTCTCAGGATAGTCACACATCCTTCTGTAACAAATTGCAAAAAGAAAACGTCACGTATCTGTGGGAGGTTTGAATGGAACGCGCAGCAACAAAAACTAGTGCCAACTGAAAGGAACCTGGCCATTAAGAGGGCAGGAAAAAGAAAAACCCGTCCTTACAAGCAGGAGTTCCCAGAAGGAGAAATCTAGAAGTGTGAAAGTCACTTCCCATTGATCGAGACCTAAATATGAGAAATTGACAAACTTTTCTTTCCCCATTGATCGAGACCTAAATATGAGAAATTGACAAACTTTTCTTTCCTATCAAACTAAAAATGGAATTATTCAAACAACCCAGTGATCGAAACCTAATTCAAAACCAAGTTGTTGGGTTGTACCACCAAAGTATCTGATGATTACGAATTCAGAGGAACAAAATTAGCGAGGGAATGTTAAAACTTCCTAGCCAGAATACAAATACCTGATTTTTACATAAAAAAAATTAACAATTTTTCATAACAACTTTAATTTGAATTGCAGGGATTTGATCTACAGATTTCAGTTTCAGAAATAAGTAAGCCACTAGCATACTAAACTGAAATGAGACATCTTTTCCTGTCAAATTATCTAACAAATACAACTTTAACAACGAATTTATGCCATGAGAAAAATGAATAGCATGTACTGAAAAAAGGGGCTTACTCGGTCTTTAGGCCGCCATTTCGATACTAAACCACTATCCGATGGTCCGGTGGGCACGCAAGCCTCGAAAGCATCGTGCCGAAGTTCACACAATACAGTGGTTTGGGGCAAGTAGGCCAAGCTTGTGGCGGTGGTAGCGGTGGCATTTCCATAGCTACTACTGGCAGTTTCTGATTCCCTTCTCTGCGAGCTCAAATCTCCGTCATCGTGGCTGGACGCGCAGTCGTCCAACTGGCTGGAGACCACCACCACCGAGGATTGCGAAAACCGGGAGGCCATCAAATCCCCCAATGCCATTCAAATCGAAAACCCTCAGAGCATAAACAGAGAAGCAATCAATTGAACAACCATGCCCAGAAATAACCAAATGGAATCACTGAAAACCTAGGATTATTGGTTTCGAGAGAAGCTAAGAGGGGAGCGGCGGCCGCGGAAGAGGAGGAGAAGGAGGAGTAGCGGGTGAGGAGGGGAGCGGGCGGAGGAGAGTGCGGTGGTGGTTGGGAGGACGTCTAATCAACGAAGCCGCTGAACCAGCGGCGCATGGAGATTCGCCTGAGGAAGGAGAGAGAATCCAGCTCGGAAAGCCCCGGAAAATCCCTCTGAAAACCCTAGAAACCCTAGGCGGCGACGAAGAGGATGATGGAGGCGCATAAAACAGTGGCGGCACAGCGAGGAAACTAAAAAACAAACAAACAAAAAAACTCAGAAACACAAAAATACGGATTTGTTTAGAGAGAGAAAGAGGAGAGAGAGAGAGAGAGAGTGCCGAGTGCGTTTGTTCTTCTAATTTTCTTTATTTCCAATTTTGTCCTCTGTCCACCGAACTACTTTCCGGGTCCGGGTACGGGTCGTATCAATTTTTTGCTATTTCTAACCATTAGTCCTCTGCAAACACTATATAAGGAAGAAAAAAAAAATTATGTTGCTCTATCTTCATATACTTCAATTGTATTTTCGATTAGTTAACTTTGAGGCGGATATCGCAGAAACTTATGATTTCAGTGATAGAATATTAATCTCTATGAAATGTGTGTTTAAAGTTCAAATAATCATACTTGTATGTTTGTGAAAACAAATTTATGTTACGTAATTATCATCGCTCTTACCGTTAAGGATTATCATCACTTTTGACCGTTATGGGTCTGTTTAATTGTTTGCTTTGATGATTCTTAAAAACATAAAGAAAAACACGTTTAAAGTATAGTTAATGTTGATTTTGTATTTAAAAAATTAGATGGTAAAAATCATGTAGTTATAAAGACACGAGACAAACCAATTATGAGAGGAATCTCATTGTCCTTTTTAGTTAAAAAAATATATATGTGTAGAGAGATTAATTAAGATGTAAGCAAGATGACTAGAACTAAACGCTTCCTCTGACAAGCACCTAAATGTAAATTTCTTCCTCGTAATTGAGATTAGTTTAAAGGTACATAATTGACGGAAAGATTAAAATGAGTTGTTGTAAAGACACTTTCTTTTTCTTTCTTCTGGTATAAATCCAAATAACCCAAAAGTAAAAATAGTACTGAAGGTGAAGGGATTAGCCAACCAATGTCTTGTTGGGCATAGGCAACTCAAAAAGAAGGTGCCCACGAGTATGTTGAGGTGTTTATTGAAGATGCTTACATTGCACATTTAAAACAAGGAATTATAATTATTCTTGTGGGGGTGTGTGTGTCTCCTCCCCTCTCCTCCTAGTTTAGGAAGGAACCTCGTCTCCCAAGTCCCAATTTCATGATTTGATCGTCGGCCACATGTTTGGTTCTCTACCGTTGAATCTAAGCACTTAATTCTAACTTCATCACACATATCAACTCATTTGGTATTTCAAACATATTCTAGCTTCACTTTTATTTTTAAGTTACAGGTTTTTTATCTAAAGGGATATTTATTTTTGAGTAAACATGAGGATTAGTTATGGGGTCCATTCCATATCGAACTTTAATTATCCAAATTGTCTTTAAAAGGGGTAATGTTATCTGCACACTTATTTTTACTTCTTATATATGCATCTTAATTTTTGGGCAATCAAATCGAATAAGATCAATGACAAAACATTAACAAGGGTGTGTGAGTGATAAAAATGAGTGTGTAAATAACACTATCATTTTCAAGTTGCACTTTTGAGATCATCCTTACAAAATATTAGTCAAATTAAAAATGTTTGAGGTGTCTAATTAAGTTTTAAAAAAATTGATGAGCATTATGTTAAAGGAAATATTGAAATTTTGGATTTGCTTTGGTTGCTTATTATTAACAAAAGAATTAGATCACAGCATTAATATTTTTGAAAATTGAAGAAAATATGCAGGAATAAGATGGCATAAGAGTAGTGAAAATATGGTTTTCCATTCAATTACTATCAATTCATTTAAGTTATTTGATATCATATTTTACTATTCAAAGCCGTCTTCACCGCGTATTTTCTGGCTCCGCACTTGTAGTCGAACGGAATGGTGTAGATAGGGGGTCAGTAATTTCACTAATCTTTATTTCAATTTCTATTGTCGACCTTGATATGTTTTTAAGGTTTCTAACGCAGTCTCGTGGTTTCTTATGGTGGATTGGAAAAATTATCTCTGGTAAATTCGTCAAATGCAATTTATTTGTACACATATTTATAGATAAGAAAATCAGGTTGCAGATACTTTAACTTCTTTGCGGTAGATAGTTATGCTTATTACTAATGGTCCACGATTTTAGATTTTGTAGCCTCTACTCATGCTCGTGACATTTCATTTTGTCCTTATTATCGTTTTCGTTTGATCTTTTTTTCTTTGCGGGTCTTGGCATAATCACCCCGTATGTATCTTTTTTGTTTACTTTCTTTCATTTATTATCAATAAAATTCTTGGAGAAGGGACCGTCCAGGGGCTTCTGGGTGTAATGGTCCTCACCTCTTTGGGAAAGGATAAGTGTCCTGCACGCGACAATTGCCGAAAACTAATCTAGCCTAATTTTTCTCCATTTAAAAAAAAATTATTATTAACTCTAAGACTTTTTGATAAAATGAATTACAAGGCATATAAACGCTAAATGTGATTTTGGAGAGGTGTGAGGCGCATAACTTCTTCAATATCATGCATATGTTAAGATGCGATGAAATTCTAACTTCGCCATTAACCTAATCTCACAAGCTTAACAAGCATGAAATACGAGTTGGGAATCATTTTTGTTTCGCAAGCAACCTCTTAAGAAGACAAGTAAAAAAAGAAGAGAGATAAACACATATTTCCGCATCAAAAATGAATTTAAAAGGGTAGTGCACCATAAAGCTTGATCTCAATATCTCTGATGCGGATATGCTTCAACAGATTAACATAAAAGCATATGCCCTGACGCATGTCAACTGACCTCATTCTGTCCCAATCAACCTTGTGGAAACAAAACTAAGCTAGCTAGATGATTAAGCACTTGATTTAAAATAAAAAAGCTTTAAGTTAAGATTTATATACTTATACGCATGCTTAAGCAACAAGCAGGCCGTCCACATGTCGGTTTCTGTATCGTCCGATGTCCACATATGGAGTAAACAAATAAGCAATGGAGTTAAAAGACATGCCAAATTCTCCCGATTTGATTTCAAAAGATACATAACATGACAATAATATATAATTAATTAAGTGGTCATGTTTTGTTCTGATTAAGACTTGTTAATCACATTCAGTATCTTAATTTTGCAAATGTCCGAGTGCCAAGTAATGCACTTGGAAATGTGCATTGAAAATGAAAGGGTAGTGACATATTTTGATTCAAAAGAATATTAGAGGTTTGCAGTTTTATAGATCCACACACTTCTTTTCACCTTTCATACACACTTTGTTAATTTTTGTTTTTTTTAATCTTAATATCTCGCTCCAACGGCTAAAAATTGAAAAAAAATGTGTGGATAGCCACCCTACAGGTACTATGTTTAGGATATTTTTCCTTAAATAACTAATTCAACACAAACAAATCCAACAAATCTTATAAGTATAAGCCTTGAATAGACAATTAGACGGTTGTAATATTGTTCTTAACATTGTCATATATGTGAAGAGTTTGCGGTGGTGGTTAGAGTTATTCACAAATAAGTCTTCAAAATATTATATTAAAATGCAGTTTGAAAAAAAAAACATGGACTTAACTTCCTTCCAATTTTTTTATTTTATATAAATATAACAATGAATGATTACTCAAGTCGATTGTATTTCAAAATGCGTGGTTTGAAAACTAACAAGGAGAGTCATTTTAAACTCTCACTTTTTTCTCATGTTGTCTAATATTCTAGTATACATGGTTAGATTTTACCCATGCGCTTAGTTCAAAAATCCTCTCCCCTAAATGATATATAAAAAAATTTGAAGAGAAACTCTCATTTTCTTCTCATCACTCGACTGATCGTCTTTGCTTTTTGCTATTATAATTTAATAAAGTAAAAGAAAATAAAAAAAATAAATTGTTACCTAACTAATATTTCAAAGTGATTCTCACTCTTTTGTTAATTTTGGCATTTTTTTTTGTAAATTTAGATCATTTCTCGATTCATGGGTGTCATTTTTTGTGTAGAAAGGATGCTAATCTTCTATGCATCATTCCCATTTTTTTTCGATGTCCCTAAAGGAAACATTTTAATATTTTTCTTAAACATACATGTCTGAATAAAAGTACATGTAGAAGTCATTTGCCTTAATAATTCACCAACCGAATACATTAATTTGTCTTGCATGAATAAGAATATAGGATTTGACTCAACACTCAAACGTTTGAAGCTTAATTTAGAGACAGCAGGCATATATGCAAACCACGTGGAGTATTGACAGTAACATTTCCCATCGTCTTCACCTATTAATGATTGAATAAGACAGAAATATGAATGTGTGATTAGTTTTAGGGACATTGACACTAAACAAACCAGTATTTAGACAAACAAGAGTTAACCTGCGCAGGCCAATCAACGTCAGTGACCTAAAAATGGACAATCCTCTTCGTTTTCTAGGGTTTGCAATATCTGGAAAAGCATCAAATATCTGAAGATAAAAAGAGCTTGGAGTTACGTCGTTTTGAAGGCATGCATGCAGAATAATTAGGGTTGCGTTCGTGGCCACCAATACTCCACGTGAACTGGTTGGGCTGAACTGAGTTGACCGTACGATTGTGTGATCTTAGGGTTTGGTAAAAAATTGGGGGGGTTTGGTAAAAAATTGGGGGTTTTGATTCGATGACCTAAAAAAAGACAATCCTTTTCGTTTTCTATGGTTTGCAATATCTGGAAAAGTCCATCAAATATCCGAGAGATAAAAAGAAAGCTTGGAGTTATGTCGTGTTGAAGGCATGCTTGCAGGTTAACTAGGGTTGCGTACGTGGCCATGATACTCCACGTGAATTGGATGGGTTGAACTGAGTTGACCGTGCGATTGGTGTGGTCTTAGGGTTTGGTAAAAAATCGGGGGTTTTAAGACAGATTGATGTTGAAACAACGAGGATGGCTGGCCCCAATACAGTAACAGCATGACGTAATTGCTTGACTACTGATCAATGAGTCGATCAGTCACCAAAACATTTTCTGAAATTTGTGTACATTGAGTGATATGACGGTTTCTTGTTTGCAATGATGTGGCGATATTTTTTAATGAGTTGGCCTCAGTCGTATTGAGTGGAGTGCAAACGTGGAGAAGACTGTACATGAGACGAGAACTTGAAATGTCAATGTCTTAATTTAATCATGTGACTTTGTATATGTGAAAACGTTAAATGTGTTGTATTGTATGTTGTGCTAACTACATCGAGAGACCGAATTCTCAAATCTTAATTATTAAGATCATCTATTCATACATCATGCACCGATGTCATAAAATACTTTTCTTTCAAAACATGCAAAGTTCGAATTGTTTACCTCAAATTCTAAGAATTTAAGGCTTAATTATGATATTGACACATGATTTGCGAATGACTTAACTAATTTTTAATTTAAAAATACTTTTCTTTCAAAACATGCGAATCAAATTTCCAATTAGATAACATTAAATTTAGGAATGTCCAACTCTCATAATTTTGTACATAATCTGCTGTGAAGTTAATTATTGGTAATAATTGTGGTGGAATGGTACGTACGGTTATAACTTTAATTCATGGATTGCTGCAATGCATCGAGGTCAAATTGCTTCATAAACTGAGCCATCCACAATACACAACTAACATGCAGTGCACCACAATACACAGCCAACATGCAGTGCACCACAATACACAGCCAACATGCAGTGCAGCATTCGAATAAGTATAAAGGGCATTTCAAGGGGTCCTACAAGAATCAAAGTGAGGTAGACAAAGGCTTATAGGAGAATCAACTCATCAACTCAGTGCCATCCTTCTTCTTCTTCACTCACACACTCTCTCTCTCTCTCAATGACAACCAAACCAACCAGCATAAAAGCTCCTCAAAAGCCAAAAGGATAAAGGTTGACCTACAAGTCTGCAGTTTTTTACACAATGTATAAAAGATGTTAAAATGATCCAAATATAATACTTTACCATCACCTTTTTCCATGTCCAACTTTTTCCTCATTGCTTTGTGCATCACACGATTCACACCACTGCAGGAAATGAAAAGGCTTTTTATCTGGTGACACTTTTGTATTTTAGAGTATTTATTCTAGACTTTTTAACTGACAGATATGTGTTTAAAAACACAACAAACTAAAATTTAACTGTTGAAACACTCTTAAGAATTTTGTTATCTTATATAGGCCTCTTAATTACAATACTTACATTCACAGAGGCTTACAACAAAATAAATATGATTTCTATATATCCTATTTTCGATTTTACTTAATGGTACATTTATTCTTAATTATAGATTTTGATTTTCCTTTAATTTATTTAACAGCGGCCCCAAAAAAAGGTGCAAGAGGTGAAAAAAGGAGCAGAAATAATTTATCTAATAAAAAACTTAAAATCAATATGAACCTAACTATTAGTTAATTGCATAAAAGCCCTTCATTTGAATACCATAAAGCCTTTTCCATTTCTCCTGTATATTTGGTTCTATGAAATTTCAGAAACAAGAGCTTATGGAGCAATCGGCGTGAAATCTTCGGACACGAAGGCGCTCTTCGGAGATGTCATTCGGCCTATGAGTTGAGGAAGCCAGAGAGGTCGGAAGTGTAAATGAAGTGCATGCCATTGTTGTGCAGAAGTGCAACTGAACAAACTTATGGCAATGCTCAGGAAATTGTACATAAACTAAAATTTTAACATATGCATTATATATATTCAAATGGAGAGAGACGCCCCTCAAATATTCATAAGGTCATAAGACAGAAACCAAGCAAGAGCCAGGATACGTGGTGAGCGAGGGACGACGAGTTGTTGACTCTTCGTGTTACAGGATCATAGCCAATTATTGAAGCATAAACCTAAACTTATTGATATGTTTCCAAAAGATAACAGTTCATCGTGTTAGGGCTAAATTTGTCCCTCGCACAACTCCCTTTTGGTAAGGTTTGCCGCTTGGTGTATTGCAATATAAGTTTGTTATTAGTTTGAATCAGTGGCGAAGCCAGGATTTCTCGGGGGAGGGGCGAATTTAAAACAGTGCAAGGTTAAAAAAAAAAAGCAACAACTAAATCTTTGTATATAATAATGTCTTCCATAATTAATCAATAAAAACAAATTACAATTGTTGTCGACGAGGTTTCATGTCATGAAAACGTCGCATAGTAGGCTCATTATCAATAAAAGCAAATACATCTCTCTCAATGTAAACAACCATGCTATCACTCAACCATTGATCTCCCATTTTATTACGCAATGGTGTTTTCACAATCTTCATAGCAGAAAAAGCTCTCTCCACCGAAGCGGTTGCAACCGGTAACACCAAAGCCAATGTAAGAAGCTTATACACTAACATATAGCTTTCACACCTCCCAGTCTTCACTAACTCTTTTGCAAGATCACTGATTCCTCTCAATGATGAAAACTCACTATGCATCTTCATATCTTGAATGTAATTGTCAAGTTGAATTGGAAGATTCATGAGGTCCATACGATCAAAATCTTGAGGATAAAGTTGGGCTAAACGAACAATTTTTTCTTTGTCAAAAGATGCAAAATTATTCACTGGACTCAAACATGCCATACAAAGAAGCAACTCGGTGTTTACCTCATTGAAGCGATCATTCAATTCCTTTAGTTGCATATCAAGGACTTGAAAATAGAGGTCTACACGATAGTAATGGAAGTTTGTGATTTTTGGAGCTTTACGCCTTGATTTTCCAGGTACGAAATGCAAATCCTCCATGTTAGGAATGACAATATCATGCTCCTCACAAAACTTTTCTACATCATGCAACAAGTCCCCAAAGTCATCATCTCTCAAGGATTGTAGTCTTTGCTTGCATACTTCCACTAACGCCATCGCATTCACAATATCTTGATCTTTCTTTTGCAATGCTTGTGATAACTTATTTGTAATTCCCAATATAAGTCTCATCAAGAAAAGGTGAAAACACAAATCAAAAGTTTGTATGTCTTTGAATAACCCAGTAGCTTCACCGAGATTATCTTGGTTGCGATCACTTTTAATCCATTCAACCACCTCCACCACGGCTTCAAACATAACAATAATACTAACTATAGTACCATAATGTGAGTTCCACCGTGTATCACATGGACGCATGAGGCTACTTTCTTGATTTAACCCTTTACCCGTTTCAAGATTACCAAGATGAAGAGCTTTTTGAATTTGTTCTTGTTGTTTCTCTCTCAATGCATCACGACGCTTGCACGAAGATCCAATAAGATTCATCAATCTATTAGCATTGATGAAGAAATTGGCAACATCCTCATTTTCCTTTGCCACAAATACAAGAGCTAGTTGAAGTTGGTGTGCAAAACAATGAATATAAAATGCTTGAGGGTATTTGTTCAAAATCTTTGTTTTAAGACCATTTAACTCACCTCTCATATTACTAGCTCCATCATAGCCTTGTCCTCGTAACTTGGACATACTCAAATTTGTTGTAGCAAACAATCTCTCAATAGCTTCTTCAAGTGAGCTACTAGTTGTAGAGGAGACATGTTGAACACCCAAAAACTTTTCAATTGCTTCTCCTTTTTTGTTCATATAACGCAATACCACCGCCATTTGCTCTTTATTGGAAGCATCACGTGATCCATCAACCAAAAGAGAAAAAAATGTACCTTCCATATCTTTAGTGATTGCATTAATAGTTTCAATAGCACAAGCACGAACAAGATCCTTTTGAATATCGGAAGAAGTATACTTGAGATTCTTGGGAGCATTCTCAAACACAACATTTCTAACTTTCTCATTATGATCGGCAAGAAATTGCATAAGCTCTATATAATTACCCCTATTGCTCGATTTCAAAGATTCATCGTGCCCACGAAAAACCAAACCTTGTCGCAACAACCATCTTGTGCAATCAAGTGCTCCACTCAGTAAAGTGTGATAATTAACGCGAGCTTCATCAGTTTGCTTGATCACAAATGTTTCAATGTGTTGTTTTTGTGTCATCAAGTCTTTAGCTTGCTGCATAGCTTTATTATGAAGACTTCCAACACCTCCCTCGTGGACTCGAAAATTTTCGGGTCCTTTCCTCCAAT